TACAAAGCCATTAAATCCCATGCAGCGGGAACCTGATCGGAGCCTCCTTTTAATTTCCTGACATGAGCTGGCCACTAACCCAATTACCCAGAATCCCCGGAGGAGCCCTCCGCCCGCCCAACAAGCACAAAGACAGTGAGAGCATATTGCATGGATGTCGGCCCAGCTTTCACTGAAATCAAATATCTTTTAGAAAACACTTGGGGAAAGGCAGGCAGGGGCCGAGGGGAGGAGGAAATGGAGCGGGACAGGGAGGCCGCAGGCCTGAGGCAGGTGATGTGAGGTGAGGGGAGCTGAAGGGAAGGCGAAGCTCGCAGGACGAGCCTTCTAGAGAGAGCTGCTGAAAGCTCAGAGCTGTGCCGAGGCACGGGGGCTCCCTGAGAAATGCAGCACATGGTATTCCAGGCTCTTCCACTCAGGGGCTGTCAGGCCAACACCCTAGCCAGGCCGGGAAGCCCGCCTATCAAGGGAGAGCTTCTCCACGGTTGTCCCAAGGGAGATGCTCATCCTGACGTTAGACCCCAGACAGGGGGCCAGCTCAAGACGGATACCACCTCTGAGATGCCCACCAGGGAATCCAGGAGGAAAACCAGGGCGGGCAGTACGCCCCGCCCACCACAATGGGTGGGCTGCTAAAAAAGCTCAGTGCCAACCTGACTGCCTTTGAATCAAATACTAGAATAACACGCCCACAGAGGTGACATCCTGAAGCAATCCCACACTGGATTTCACCAAGTCATGTTCCATCTGGTCCCCACCTTGACCCGCTGATGGGGAGAGCAGGTTTCAACACCCCTGCTGTTCCGGTGAAGGGTAGAGGCCCAGGAGCGTAAGGGAGAAGTAGCAAAGCACAGCGAGCTCCCCTCAGGGCTGGGGGAGGGCCCGGGCATCAACTCCCAACCACGTGTGGATTTTGTATTCAATTTTTTATGATGAGAAAAATCACTTTTTTCCCCCTCCCTGAAAGTAAAGACTTTCACACACTGGATTTGCTTAAAGTGGGCAGACCTTTGGGCATTGCCTACATGGCTCAGTCGATGATTCCAGAGCCTATGGCAGCCTCAAGGAAGAGGCTGGTGTATACAATGGAATATTACTCAGCCATTAGAAATGACAAATACCCACCATTTGCTTCGACATGGATGGAACTGGAGGGTATTATGCTGAGTGAAGTAAGTCAATTGAGAAGGACAAACATTATATGGTCTCATTCATTTGGGGAATATAAAATATAGTGAAAGGGAATAAAGGGGAAAGGAGAAAAAAATGAGTGGGAAATATCCGAGGGGGAGACAGAACATGAGCGACTCCTAAATCTGGGAAACGAACAAGGGGTGATGGAAGGGGAGGTGAGCAGGGGGTTGGGGTGACTGGGTGACAGGCACTGAGGGGGGAACTTGATGGGATGAGCACTGGGTGTTATTCTATATGTTGGCAAATTGAACACCAATATGAAAGAAGAAAGAAAGAAAGAAAGAAAGAAAGAAAGAAAGAAGAAAGAGAAAAGAAAGAAAGAAAGAAAGAAAGAAAAGAAAAGAAAAGAAAAGAAAGAAAGAAAGAATAAATAAAAGGAAGAGGCTGAGCCAAAGGAAGCCACAGGACCAGACATCCCCCCGCCACCCCGTAGTGGCTGCCCCCCGCCCCCGCCCGAATCATGAAGCAGTCCCTCACGCTGTTTTACTTGAGAAAAGCAAAACTGTTAAGAGACCTCTAGGGCTGCTGGACAGAAGGTAGGAAACAGCCTTCGGATGCGTAGGTGGGATGCGAAGGAAGGGGAGCAGGCATTCACATCCTTTCTCCAGCCTCCCACCACCCCGCACCCCTGCACAGAGGAGGGGCCCCAGGACCCCAGTCCCCGGTTCCCCCATGTGAGGCCCCCACTGTGGAACCTTAAGGAGGAGGAGCAGCTCCCAGGAAGCCTGGAGTCAGGTCAGTCTGAGGGAAGGCAGAGGGAGGCAGGGGAGCAGGGAGCCCGCACCTGTCCCAGGGGCCTGGGCTCCTGCTCACCAAGTGGTGGAGGGACAACCGAACAAAAGCAGAAGCCAGGGCAGCTGCCAAGAGTCCCTGCCTGGCGGGGACCCAGGCTCCTCAATGAGGCAAGCTCCTCCTAGGGGGGCTGGTCCCCGTGGATCTTCTGATGGCAGGATCCCGCCAAGGCTCAGCCCTGCGGGGGACAGAACTGAAATGGAACCGCTGGGCTTTGTCCACGTTCAGTGCCTTTGTGTCATCCTGCCCCCTCCGGATTTGGAACTGCCAGTACCGGGGCGGGTTCTGGTGACTGCCGCCTCCTCCTCCAGGCTGAGCTCCAGAAAGGGCCTCTCCAGGCTGGGTTACCTCAGCACACCTGCTCTGCTCCTGCCAACAGTCTCAACCCTTTCCCACATCCCGGTCCTGGGCCAACTACAGAGCTGTTTAGAGCAGAGGGAGGCTGAGGTTGGGGCCCACTGGAGGCAGAGCTCCTCTGAGACACCCCTAGCTCTCCCTCACAGAGTCCTGGGACACACAGCATCTACTTCGCTTCTCAGAAGTGGCCTGCCGGGTACCTAGCTGCATTTGCCATCACTGTGCCCTTGGCCACACACTTCTCTGCCATCAATGGGCTCCCCTCATCATTCCCCCGTTTTGCGGGGGCCTCCAGGAGACACCTGCACTCTCTTCCCAGCACTGGGTAGTCCCCGAGGAGAGTCTTCCTTAGACGCTGTCCTTAGAAACCATCAGGGATGTCAAGTGGTGGTCCTCCCATGTCCTCAACTCTCCTTCTGCCTCCCCAGCTCTCCAGCTCACAATCCTGGGCTGAGGGTGGGGTGGCCTGGGCTTGGGGCAGACACAGCACAGAGCATGCGAAAGCTCCAGGCTCTGGGCCCAGCTCCCCACGAATCACAAACCAGCAGATGGCCGAGGGTGAGAGTGGCCTCGAACCCCAACCCTGCAGACTCAACTCTGTCATCCTTCAAACTCAGGAGCGTATTGGTAGCACGGCAGCTCCCTTCTGCTCTAAGATCCTCAGATGCTGTGAAGTAAGCAAAGAGAGGCCACAAACCCCAACCAGGAAAAGGCCACTGGACAGCTGCCCCCAGCCTGACCCAGCGCCCTCACACCCAGCTTCCCAGGACAAGGTGGCAGGACTGAGGAGTGGGGAGCATCTCTAAGACCTAGACACCCTTAAGTTGGTTTCCAGCAGGGCATATAAGAGGAAGTCAGCACTAAAGCAGACTGCTGAGGTTCTTATGCCTCAGTTTCCTTCTCTGTGCACCCCAGGATACTCTGGGGAAGCAGAATGAGCCTGGTGTAGGAGTCAGTGGACCCGGGTCAGCCACTAGTTGGAGTCACACCTACAACCAGGATAAGACCAAAGTCATGTAGAATCAAAATGAACTAACGCACAATCTTTTGGCAGGTCTAAGAAAGCCTGTTTTTTTTTTTCTAGAAAGAGAACTGTTCCTCAGTTGACCCCCCACACACATACCCATGAAGCAGCTGGCGTGTTTCTAACAGCTCAGTGGGTTCACCATCTCAAAGGCGGTAAATGATGTGGTAAATGATGCGGCTAATGAGAAATGCAGTTGAAAGGCCAACATCTATATGATACGGGGGTAGTTGAGGCTGCTTCAGGACCTTCTGCTTTAGAAGTGCACACACAGGGCGGGGCTGGGCTCAGGGGGGTGGTGATGGGAACTGGGGGACGGGGTTTCTGATTTCAGCAACAACGAGGTCCAAGTTGTCCAACTGACAAAGCATCTTATCTTAAATTCGTGCCTTCTTTTCTCCAGGGGATGCAAGAAGAGGACAGTGGGAGGAGTGCTCTGGGGCCCTCAAAGGCTGGGCCTGACTTCCAGAAACTTCCCTCTCAGTGAGGGACTACATTCCAAACTGGCTTCTTCCCTTTCTCTCCTAGCCCTTCCCCATTATGTGATCATCAGCACAAACCCCTTTTCTTTTCCTGCCTCCTTTCACTTCTGGAAGGATCCTAGGGCCCAGAATCATAAAAGATATGATTGATATGAAAGAACCTCCACCAGCTCCCTCGAAAGCTGGGGTAGGGGAGAAATACACACACACACACACACACACACACACACACACACACACACACTACCCATCCCCCAAAATGGTCTTGAAGGAGGGTCACCCATCTGAGCAGATCAACAGGGGAGGTGAAGAGGAGCCCCAGAGCAGCGAGGTCCACATAATGAGAGCCACGTTATCATTTTAAATTTGCAAGTAGCCACTTTAAAGAAGGTAAAACAGAAGCAGGAGATCTTAATATCATCATGTTTTGTTTAACGCACTACATCCAGAATATTATCACCTTAACATGCAATCAGTTTTTTAAAATAATGACTGCACTATTTAATTACTATACTTTTTGTCATCCTAACAAGTCTTTGAAATCTGGGTGTGTCCTACCCTCAGAACCCGAGGCCTGTGCCTCCAGGCTGGCAGGCTGACACAGCCGCAGAGGAGGAGGAGACAGGAAAGTGAGAAGATAAGGTGGCGGGGAACATGGCAGGCAGAAAACCTCCACAAGGTGACAGTGGTGTCCTGCCCATGTGCAGGAGAGCACGGCTGCTCTGCTCAGGTGAAGAGGACATTACGTGTCATTCTGGCCCTTAATGTCTCTGCTTCTTGTACTTCCAAACTCTGGGCTCCGCTGCGAGGTAGAGCAGCATCTCAAACAGCATCTGAACCAGGGCCTCGTCCCACCCAAGAGGAGGGCCTTCCCTGGGAGGCCAAGCTAGCTTTCTAGGGTCCAAGTGGGGTCAGGGTTTCCCAAAGGATCCTCAATGGGGAATGTCTAAGACCTGCCTTCCTGACGCCCCATGTCTCCCTTAGGAGTGGAGCTCTAAGGCCACTGTAAACCCGTAGGCAGGGTGTATGTGAGCAGGGTCCTCACCTGGGATGTGTGCAGAGACTTCCAGGGTCTGCATTGCCCTGGGGACAGGAACACAGGACCCTGAGACCCCCAGTCAGAGCACAGCATGGGTATGCAGGCCTCTTACCTTCCTTCAGCATCCCCACTTTGAGGCATTTCATGAAGCGGCAGGCCTGGCATGACTTGCGTCTCCGTTTTGTGATCTCACACTCGTTGGTGGCTGGGCAGCTGTACTCGATGTTCCCTGTAACCAGACACAGACAGGGTTGCCAGGTGGTGTCCAGGGCCCCCACCGCCAACCAGAGGCTGGATGGGGATTAACCCGCCAGACCCACAACTGCCCCTCATCCCAAGCTTCCCATAGGGCAGTGGCTCTCCAAGTAGGTGCTCTGAGGCACTTGTCAAAATGCTTCCAACTCTCTCCAATACAGAGATCCCAGTCCCAGCAGTCTGAGTGGGCCAGGGCAGCCACAGTTCTGAGGAATGGTCACCCTCAGCTTTGAAGACACCGCTGAGCTGGCATTTTATCCCAGGCAGAGAACACCCCCTGCACTGACCAGAATGTTGGTCATTCTAAGCCCTTCCTCCAGCCTGGGGTCCCAAGTCACGGGAAAAGCCTCTCAGAAGCTCTGGCCCCACATGGCCCTGGGCCTGTGCTCCACACCCCACTAGAGGCTCAGCCCTCTCCAGCCTGTTGATCTTGAAATCATTTTACTTTCCCTGAATCTTAGTTGCCTCATCTGCAAAACAGTGTGATGTCTCCGAAATGAAAGATTAGCAAGATCATGGTTATAAAATTGCTTTAACAATTATATAAAAACCCTGGGGTGCCTGGCTGGCTCAGTTGGTGCAGCACGGGCTCTCGATCTCAGGGTGGTGAGTTCAGGCCTCACATTGGGCGCAGAGGTTAATTAAAAAAATACATATACACTGTAAAGCACTCTTCAACGTTGAGCTGGTGATTATATAACCATAGTTCATTACTAGAGAAGGAATTTGTGATCATTTTCTGTCTCACCCCTTTAATGAATTATAATGGCTACCCTGAACCTGACCCACGCTCCCTCCGTTTACCTCTCTGGCCACACGGAGATCAGCCCCTGCCATGGAGAAGCCAAGCAAGAAAAGCGCGTTGAATGAATCACCTACTGAGTCCTCATAGTGATCCCATGGAGTAGGAATTGATGCTGTCTCCGTTTGCCAAGAGAGGCTGCAGTTGCCTTTGCAACACAGGACAGAGCCTCTGTCCTTTGTACTCTTACCTGCCTACAATTACTTAACAAAGATGGACCATGTAGCTCTACATGTGAAGAACAAACCAATGGGAAGGAAAAGGGGGCTCAGTGGAGTGGGGAGGGTAGGGAGGCAACTGGGAGGTAAAATGCAAGGCAGCGACCCCAGGGCTGTTTTGTTTTTATTTGGTCTTCTTGGCCCCTGTCCCAAATCTGTGGGGTGGTCCAGAGCCTGTGGTTTTTGGAGAACAGACTTTGAACTAGGGTAAACCTCCTGTCCCCACCCCATCCAGATGCCTACCTGCTGAGGGAGCAAGAAGTGACTCCCAGAAGGCTGCCCACCTGACTCCCCTCCTGAGGCCCAGGGACACTCCCCTGGAGCAGGGGTGCTGTCCCGTCCACCTGGCCCAGTAAGAGCAGCCCCCGAAGGGTCACTCCCAGCCTGAGACAGGGCTTGAGAGGGTAGTTCCAGGTCTGCCTGGCCTCTGAATCCCCTCTACACACACACACACACACACACACACACACACACACACATCGATCTTAGTGGTTCCAACAGTCCCTTCTACTATGCACCTGCTGGCTCTCACTCCTCACAAGAACCCTCGGAGGTGGGCCTCTCAGGGCCTCATTTCACAGACCCAGAAACTGAGACTAGGGGAGTGAAATGAGTGATTAAAGCCACACAGATCCCCTGCACCACCTTGCACCCCACGAGAAGCTTGGGAAGACCAGCCAGGCCCCTCTCTGCTGCTAACCCAGCAGTGGGGAGGGGGCGTACCTCAGCCTCCTCATGGTGGCCTATGAACAACAGCAACTGCCAGATTTTCTGAGAGCGGGCCGGAACCAACTCCTACCCCTGACAAAGTGCTCTGGAGTACTAAAATTATTGGGCCCCAGTCACAAGGTGAATGCTCACAAGAGCTTTGTGGTATCCTTAGCCCCCTTTTGTACTGGTGAGGAAGGGAGCAGATCTGCCTGGGGCACCTTAGGTTTCCCATTTCTCTTCTCTCCCTGTCTTTGTCTCTGAATTCTAGCTACCTCACCTTATCACCTTTGTCCCTCCCAGTTCCTGCGGGTTAGGGAGCTCTAGAAGTCACCCTCTGTGCTGGGGGTGGGAGAGGGCAGGAAGGGGAAGGGATGAAGATTCTGAGTGCCCCTCCCCTCTTTTGCCCAACGCTATCCATTTCCTAGGGCACTCTGGCTTGTGTGACTTCTTGGCAAATAATTTCAATACTCCCAGAAGCGTGAGAAACTGAAAAGATAAACAGGAGAGAAACACAAACAGAACCTAATTCATCCAAGGCCATCTTGGCTTTGAAGGCTCTGTAGAATTTGGGCCCTGCTGCTTCCCACCTCACCCCTCTCTCTTCTGCCTCAACATCCCCATCACTTTCCATAAGTATCAGTTCCTGCAACTCAGTGATAACCGACGCTTCCAGGCCTTGGTTCCAGCTGCCCAGAACAACCCCAGTGAGCTCTCTCCACCACCCCACCACCCGGCTTAGACCCCCAGGGCCCCCGGAAAGTAGACGCTGCTTCTCCTCCCTCTCGCCCGTCTGACCCCTAGACCAGGTGCCTTGCACACGGCAGGTGCTCAATCCACACCCAGAACCAACAGTGACAAGTGCTCATCATGAAGCAGCCACCGTTCTGCTTTTCATACAGGGCCTGTTTCATTTTCCCAACAACTCTGAAGGGGAACATCTTTTTTCTCCATCTTAGAGTTGAGAGAGGTGAGCAGAGCCCAGGAAGAGGCAGAGCAAGGGCTTGAACCCAGATGGTCTGGCTCGAGTCTGCCTCTGAACCACTGTGCAGTGAGCTCACAGGGCCCGCTGCGGGCCCGCGTTCACCTGGCAAGGTAACTCACGCTGCCTTGGGAGGCCACTTGCATGCTGCCAGCCCTTCACCTTCACTGGTCTCGGCTGCACAGCCAGCCTGTCATCTCTTGAAGGAAGATGGGTCCCAGGTTTTGCGGGGTTGTCGCTCGAGCAGGAGGTCAATAAATGTCTGTCAATTTGGCACCGGTGCCCTCCCAGGACAAGGGGACTGAGCGTTAACAACAAGAACCCAAGCAATGTTCTTGACCTCGTGTGTGTGTGTGTGTGTGTGTGTGTGAGAGAGAGAGAGAGAGAGAGAGAGAGAAGAGAGAGAGAATTCTAATTTTATTTATTTATTTTTGTTCCTTTCAATTTGTTTTATGGCCCAAGCGGCTAGCTGCCAGCAAAGCCAGGCTGGTGGCCTTGCCTTGTAATTTCTATAAGTGCCTCCTCGATAAAGTGATGAGATTAATTCATCAGAATTCCTTTGGTCTCTGGAGGGCAGTCTAGGAGGGCTCAGGAGCAGGGAGGGGCGTCTGGGGTGCACACACACATACTCGCCACCAGCTGCAGCGAGGCAGGTTTGGAGGTGGGCTCTCATAGGACAAGGACACAGCCAATGGCAAGCATACATTCGGGGTTCTAACACAGGAGGGTGTCCTGCAGAGACACAGGCAGATGTTACTTCAGGCAAAGTCACCTAAACCTCTCTGGGTCCATTTCCTCATCTGTAAAATGGGCCCGGCACATTCTCATCATCTAAAGTTGTGTGATACTGGGACGGAAAGCACATAAAGGGCTCAGTGAGGTCAGTGTGGGGGACGGAAGCAAGGGATGGAGGCAACTCTGCTTACTTTGACATCCAGGCCTGTCGGTCAGGGTCAATTCAGCAAAAGTCTCTGGGGTAAGCCTTTTCTAGGTGTCAGATGTGAGGCTGGCCACTCACTGACATTTAAACACATCAGCACCAGTGACCTCAGAGTTGGTGTACCTGCCCCTGTAGTGTGGCAGGGAGGCAGGAATGCCCAGGACCTGACCTGGACTTCTGCATGACCTCTGACCTCAAGGTAGAAGGGAAATCCCCACCAGCAGCCCTCTTTGATGCTGTGCCCCAGAAGGAAAGCCCAAGGGCATCCCCATCAGCTGTCCCTGGCAGCTGCAGGCAGTGGGCAATCCTCTCCCGGGGCTCACGGGTGGCACCAGGGGGGCTCAGAGGGCTCCTGGGGGATGCATGTGTCAGAGGCTGCTGGCTAGCATCCAGGCCTGAATGGCCACTGCTTTAGGTCACTGTGGTGCAAGGGCGGGGATGGCAGTCACCTGGTTCCACTCCCCTATCTATTTCACCTCTGGGGGACACAGACTCTGTCTTCCCCACGTGGCCCATGGTCCTCAACTCCATACCCTTCCTCCTCCTCACCCGCCAGCTGGATGAGCTCATTCATGCCACCAGCCCTCGCTAGCACCTGTTTGATAAGGATCAGCAGCAAGAGGCACTGCCAGTGCTCTGCACCCTTGTCTCCCTCTGCCTGCTGGATGTGTCCACTGGGTTCCTCACACTTCCTCCACTGAACCTATCTTCACCCAACATGCTCCTCTCACCATGTCCCTTGTCTCAGCAGAACGACCACTAAGCCACCCCACCGCCTTAGGTCAGAAACGGAGGTGGCATCCGGAATCCTTCCCTATCAGTCCGAAGGTCCTTCTCATCCTATTCAGTTTATTTTTCACCCCTCCATCCCCTCTGGCCACAGCTAGACCCCACACTCAGGGCCTCTTGCCTCTCGTCTATGCACTAGCCTCTGTTCAGTGTAGCACCCACACCGCCCCTGGAGTGATGCTAATAACCTTCCTGTGCAAAACTCCTCTATCACAGCACACTGAATGGCAGCATGACAGTGAGAACTGTTGCAGAAGAATGGATGAAGTAAAAAATCAAAGTAGCCAGGAGCGCCTGGGTGGCTCAGGAGGTTGAGTGTCCAACTCTTGATTTCGGCTCAGGTTGTGCGATCTTGGGGTCCTGGTGTTGAGCCCTGAGTCAGGCTCTGTGCTGAGCATGGAGCCTACCCAAGATTCTCTCTCTCTCTCTCTCTCTCTCTCCCTCTCTCCCTCATCTCTCCCCCCACAATGTACTCTCTCTATATATATAAAAACAAAACAAGGGCAGCCCTGGTGGCTCAGCGGTTTAGCGCCGC